GTACGTCAGACAAAGCTTCAGAATCGTTGACTCCAAGGAGCATTCCAGCTTCACCTTCTCCAGGACAAACCTGTCTGTTCTCCTAGGAGTCCATGGTATATTCAACACTCTTCTCCAGCACCACAGCTCAAAGGCATCAATTCTGTTTCTATCATCCCTAATCACTGTCCAACTCTCTGATGCATAGCACGTAATTGAGAAGACTACAGCCCGGATCAGGCACACCTCAGTTTCCAGCCTGACGTCGTTGCACTTCAGTACTCGAGAGGTCCCTCACAGCCGACTTTCCCAGTGCAATTCGTCTCCTGATTTCCTGGCTGCTGCACCAAGAGTGTTGACTGGGAACCAAGCAAACTAAAACTGTTAACTATCTCAATCTCTTCACCATCCATACTGATATAGCCAATTGTCCCAGTAGTGAGAATCTTTGTTTTCCTGATGTTGAGCCTCAATCCATAATTAATATTTTAATTATTAAAGAACACATTTCCAAGCAAGTCATTCAAAACTAACCACCAAGGATCCTTTTTTATTGTTATTGTAAAACTTTGGAGATTCATAGACAAAAATGAAACACCAAGTAGACATAGAAACATGTTTGGTTAGTTTCCACTTTCAACTATTAAGTGGCTATCATCCTGGAACTGAGATTACAAGCACAAATTCTTACAAAGCATCTCATAACGATTTATTATTCACACCATTTTAAAGCTTCTGTTTTTCCGCTGGCAGCCAAGTATGTTAGCAATTTGCAGCACACACAAGAATTCCTAGAAAGTAATTAAGTAAAACATTAACAAAAGAGAGAAGAAAATTCATCCATTAACTCCAAAAGAAACACGTAATCATCCCCAGAAAAAGCGGAACACGCTCTTGAAAAACCAAAACAACATACTCCTTTCAAGTGTGATTCAATTAAGATGTGGAAAACATAAAGACCAAGCTGATGAACATAAGAAGTAATCAGAGAACAAAAAAGAGCTCTTAAAAATTAAGAATCCCTTAAAATATGAAGTCATTCTGGAACTAAGCATGGCATATCACAGTTTCAAAAGAACATCTATGAAAAGCTCTGGGCTGCGCACACACACTCGTCTCTCCTCAGTCCCATAGTCTGAAGAATATGACAGAACATACTTAACGCTACAGAGAAGAAATAACTGGCAAAGTGGAGCAAATGAAAAGCAGTTTCAACATCCCTCACATAAAAAGGATTCTTATTCTATCAGCTGCCATGAGCCCAGCCTGCCTGAGTGCTTCTCTCTCATCATCACTTATCCTGACATGACCCCTACAAGCGTTCAATTTACTACCCAGTTACGTCTCTCTCATCCCAGGGAGGAAGCGTTTTTGAAATAAGAGTGACTAAGTAACCACACTAACCACCTACTAAATATTAATCGCTGTCGTCCACGGGATGGGGCAGGGGGGCCCAGGGTGGGGAGCAGGAAATCAACAGTTTGGTAGGCGGAGGGAGGGGGTGAAGGAATTGAGGAAAATCCAGTGGGGACCTGAAAAGACGAGGTGATAGTGGGCCTAGATCTATGGTGATCGGGTTTGTTTGTTTTTTGTTTTTCCCAGTATACAATCCAATTCATTTATTCTGTAAAAGCAAAACATTTTTTATTTTGATTTTTTTTAAAATTTAGGTTGTTTATTTTTCATTTCAATGAACATCTACAGAGATTTTGGGATTGCATTCATTCATTGTTGCACCCTTCTCCCCGCACAAACCCCTCCCCCCTCCCCCCCCTTTGATTTTTTTTACAGTAAACTTTTAACTAAATACCTTGAATACACGAAAGATGTTCCAAAGACAAGCATAAGACTAAATGTGTTCTCACAATATAAGCTGGAATAAAAAGAAGTAAAATTCTCTATTATCACAAGAGCGACAATCATATACACATTATAGAACAGTGATGGTTTTAGAAGACACAATGATCCTAGCAAACAAAATGTGAATGAGAGGATGTATGAAACACCATGCATATGAGTGAAACACAGTGTATAAGAATCCTGTATGCAAATCAATATAAAATTTCTTTTAAAAAAATCAAGGCAATCTTTATTCCTAAATATGAACGACCTAAAAACTAGCAAGTAATTAAACCAAATCGAGCCAGTGACCAGGGAGCCAATTCCGACCCAAGCTGACCCATGTGTGTCAGAGTGACCCGGCTCCACACGGTCTTCAGCTGACCTGTCGTAAGCAGACCACCAGCCCTTTCTTCTGAGGTACCTCTGGAGAGACTCAAACCTCCAACATCTCAGTCTGCAGCTAAGTATACTAGCGATGTGCACCACACAAGAACGAGAACTCCTGGAAAGTAAGTAAGGAAAAGCATCCGCACCAAAGAGAAGCAACGAAATGAATCCCTTAACTCCAAGAGAAGCACACAGCAATCCAGAGAAGTGAGGGAAAAAAAGGCTCTTTCAAAACCAAAATAAAACAACTTAGCATTTTCAAGTACGATTCAAAAAGATGTGGAAAACGTAATAAGCTGCTAATGGCAAGAAATCCTCAAAGAACAAGAAAGAGCTCTAAAAAATTAAAACTAGGCTACAACACAAAGCCTTAAAGCACAGACACATATCCCCTCCTGTGAGGAAGAATTGTAAAACCTTGAACATTGTTCTTATTTATATTTTTTAAAACGGGGAGGGGGTAAATGATGATTTTTTTGTGTACTAACAACCACTTATTTGATTTCATTTTGTGATGTACGTAGCCAATTATGTTTGATCTTTGTGAAAACCTTAATGAAAATGAAGAATTTAAAAAAAATATGAAAACTAAGATTTTCCAAATTAAAAATTCAATGGTCAAACAGGATTATTAAAAGAAAAACTGAAGACGAAGTGAAAGATCTAGAAAGAAAATTGGAGATGGAAAATAGTAGGAAATAGCAGAGCTGCGGCCACTGTTGGCGGTGATGTGCGCCGTCAAATTGCCATCGACTCGTAGCTGATATTCCAGCTGCTTTTCAGAGGCTGTAAATCTCAATAATAGTATTTCTCCTGTGGAGAAGAAGCTGGTGGATTCGAACTGCCTTTGGGTTGGCAGCACAACTCTTTAGAATTAAGCCATTTGAGCAGGAAGATCATTTAAGAGGAACAACAGTGAGAAAGAGACCCTGGAAGGGAACAAAAGAATACCACTCCCCTGCGCTGAGAAAGACTGAGGGGGTCAATCACCCTCCAAAAAAGTCCTCAAACTCACTGCTGTCCAGAGGGAACCAACTCACAGCTGACCCCACACAGCTGTAAACTGCCCGCAAGGAGTCTGCCCTTCTGGTGGGTTTGAACCACCATAGAGGGGCCACCTTTGGGTTGATGGTGTAACTCCCTACCCACTGGGTCACCAGAGGTCCCTCAGGGGCCAACAGCAAGAAAAGGAATAAAGACCCACACCGTGGAACATCCCAGTAAAATTTCCAAAATTAAGAACAGAGAAAAACCTAAAAAAAAGAGAGAGAGAACAAAAAAAAAAAAATGAGACTAACATCAGATCACTTTTAACAAAGACCAGATGACAATGAAACTTTATCTTCAAAACTGAGAAAGACAAGGTTTTACAATATATTTTCCAAATCTAAGATGCTATAGATATAGCAGGAAAGGAGGCCAATTAAACTACAGCATAATTGTAAGATATTTTAAAGATACTACAGCAAGGACTATCCATTAAAATGTTAAAGAACGTAACTTAAAATTAAATATGACATGTGTTCAGTCAATTATCAATCAAGAGAACCTTTTCACATATGCAAGAGCTCGTGGGCTGATACACTGATCTACCAGCCACATCCCTCTGAGAATAAACTAATTGAAAGGGACTTGATCAGAGGAAGAGAGAAATTCTAAGACGACAACAGGAGTTAGAAGAACTAAATGTTAGTCTGAGAGTGAAGCTACTCTAGTGGTTAAGGCATTAGACTGGTAACCAAAAGGTTGCCAGTTCGAACTCTTCAACTGCTCCAAACTATTTCCATAAATCTGTTCCCATAAATATTTAAAGCCCTGGAAATGCTAGGGAGCCTTTTCCTCTGTCCTACACGGTCAGGAGTAAGAATCAACTTGATGGGCATGAGAATTAAAGGTATAAAAGAAAAGCAAACAATACTTCATCCAACCAAAATGTTTGAACACCATCATATTTAAATTGTCAGGACATCTGGTGTTCATTTCTGTTTGACGGTCCAGGTATGTAACTAGGATGGGTCAGCCCCTGGAGAAAAATATCACACTCAGAAAAGTAAAGGGTCAGGAGAAAGAGGAAGATCCTGGCTGAGATGGACCAATGAGTGTCCACAAAAAAACCCTCAAAACTAACAGCTGAAAATGGTGCAGAACTGGAAATGGTCGTGCTGCTGACAGGGTCGCCACGCATCAGACACAAGCTAGCAGCATCTAATAACAATCAGCTATAGAAAGAGAAATGTATGCACAAACTAAAAACTATGCAGATGCCATCTACTGGTTTGCAATTTTCAGAAGCAATCTCTGAACGAAACATGGGAAATTAAAAGGTAAAGAAATAAAATGGAAATGACACAAATAACACAACCAGTTAAACTCAATAAATGGGTCTAAGACAGTGAAGCACTTCAACTTCTGCAGCAGATATGTTGCCTCAAATCAATAATTAAGAAGTAGAGATGTAGCTATATTTTAAACAGTTGGAAATAGTTGCTTCTGACTTAAATTTATTTCCTGTTCTGTCTGATGTTTGGATTTTGGTTTGGTTTTCTTATTGTCATTTCATTTCATGTGTGCATGTAGGGTGGGGGAATCCCTTTCTGTCCACAGGTGAATCTGGCAAAGTTCTCATCATCTCCCAGATGTCCCAACACACATTTTCTTATTCTATCTTTCCAAAGAGCAAAGACATGGTCTCACTGCCGTGTACCTGTACCAAGAAAAGTAAACGGATTTGTATCTAATGTCACTGAGCCAGTTTTATCTCCTTAAAAAAGTCAACCCACTGGAAACTGTACCTGACACGTCCTTAGAACACGTAGCCAGCTTCTCCAGGTGGGAGCTGATCTTCTCGATAGCTTTGAAGTTCTTATTCCTCTTCAGGATATCCACAGCAGAGCGAGACTGCCGGTCCATCAGGGTGGGGTCTGCCCCGAAATGCAGCAGCATCTCCACGTCCTCTGTTTGCTCTAGGACAGACCGAATCAAGAAGGGGGGACTGTCACGACCCCTTCCGTGAGTGCTCTGCCTACCAGGTCCCTGCCGGAGCAGCTCAGACAAAGAGACAGCATCCACCGCTTGCAAACGCCTGAACTGCCAGGCTTAGACAGTTCACCCAACTCCCCGGATCAAGAAGTCCTGTGTGCTCCAGGAAGAACAACAGCTTTTCAGAGGTTCCGAAGTCCTCTGTACCTTTCTCCTCTCCTAGGCAACAAGCAAGGAGAAGGGGAATCTGGTTGCTAGGCAACAGTTACAGCTGTAAGGATAACAGCAAGCTATGACTTCATTTTTCTTTATTCCCTGAAGAAGAAAAAGAATATCCTTTCTTTTTTTTTTTTTTTTAAGAATATCTTTTCAAAGACCAAAAAAAAAAAAAACCCCACAACACAAACCCAACAGGATCTGTTTGGGGACAGTGGGAAAATGTGGCAATTTCAAGTGGAGACTTCCTGCAGTCAGTCACCGTGTCTCCAGCCTCAAGACTGGATGCTCTATCAGTTCCTCTGACAAATCTAGTGACCAAGCATCAAGGTGGCCCCGTGCCCACGGAAGAAATGGTTTTGGGAATGGAACACCTGTGCCCCTGGAGGCTACACAAAGTCTTGTGTGGAAACGGAGGGTTAAAGGAAACAATGTCTGGTTCCCCGTTTCCAGATACTCACCGCCCAACACTCATGGTATCATTCCCTGCAGTTCACTCCACACAGTTCTGTTCCCCACCAGCCCCCATCATAGCTACCCTCCTTCCACATCATAAAACAGAAATAAACAGGAGACAAGGTAATATTCCCAGATACACACACACACATATCGAGATGTATAGATAAAACTGATCCACAACCATCAAAAGTCCAAGTTCACTCTTAATTAGAAAATGCAAGTTAAAATAAAACCAAAAGACTTTAGAGGGAGCTCTGGTGGCCTAGTGGCAAGAAGCTGCACTACAATCCCAGAGGTCTGTGGTTCAAATCCACCAGATGCTCTGCTGCAGAAGGAGAGGCAATCTCCTGCACCAGTCAGATTTGTTTTGACGGTACACACACACAAAGTAGTAAAATTTAAAAAACACCGTAATTTTTTAAAAAAACAACACCAAAAGACTTGCTCTTGGTTGTCAGTCTAAATACAATTTTTAAATCTGATGATACGCCCTACTGGAGAGGTTGTGGAAACAAGAGGTTCTCATGCATTTCTGGTGGTTACACACTTCTGATTAAAACCTGACAGTAGTGTAACCTTCTACAGGGTCCGGTGCCAAGCACTTCTTTTTGGGGGACTAACTCTGTATTTCTTCCATCTTTTTTCATGTTTCCAGCATCACTCAGGATTCTGCCCACAGACGCCTTAATCTTGCTGAGACTTGAGACTTCCATGTGTTCTTCAATTCTTTCAGCCTGAGAAAAACCAAGCATGTTCTTGCCTTTTTGTTTTCTAACTCCAGCCTTTTGTTCTAATACTCTGTCTTCTCGAGCTGCCCTTTGAAGTCTTCTGTGTGGTTCTTTTACCGCATCATTCCCTCCCTTTGTTTCAGCTTCTGTCTAGTCTAGTGCACGTTTCAGCGTCCCCTCTGGCTTCTATTTCGGTCTCTTCTTTCTTTCCTATCTTCGTAATGTCTTCATGGATGACATCCTTTCACAACCCACCTCGTCTTTAATCATTCGTGTTCATTCAACGTATCAAATATATTCTGACGTGGCTTTTTCATTCAGTTGGGATAAACTCAAGATTGTATTCTGGTTCTCATGGATTTGCTTTCATTCACTTCAGCTTCACTTTGAATTTGCACATGAGTAACCGATAATCTGCTGCGTGGTCAGCCCCTGGCCTTGTGTCCATTAATGGTTTCTTGTTTCTCTATGGACCCTTTCCACCAATGTAATCGATCTGAATCCTGCGCAGTCCATCAGGTGAGGTCCACGTGTATAATCAGCATTTATTTTCTATTAAAAAGGCTATTTGCAATGAATAAGTCATAGTACAAAATTCTGTCATTTGAGCGCTTCTCTCATTTTTGTTTTTGTTGTTATGTGCCGTTGAGTCTTTAATATTCCAGTCATTATTAATATTAATGCATCTTAACTGCAGAGTAAGTCGGTTTCAGATTGCAACAGTTGGTAGAAGTCCTCCATTTCCTCATTTTTTTAGTGGCTGGCGTGTGTATCTGAATAATAGTTATATTAACAAGTCTTTGTATGCATATGGATATTTGCATGAGTAATTTCTTACAACAATTAGCACAACACTAGTTCCTATAAAGGGAGTTCAGTGGCCTAGGGGTAAGAAGCTGCTCTGTAATCCCAAAGGCGCACGGTTCAAATCCACCAGATGCTCCGCTGGAGAAGGAGGGGCAGTCTCCTCCTGTGCCAGCTGGATCCGACTCAATGGCACACAGAAGTTCCCACACGGTGGAAGTTAACAATATTCAAACTGCTGAACCACTCCAGCATCTCTGACGTCGTCTATTCCTCCCTTCAGGTCTTGCCATCTCGTCTGTATAGGACTTTGGCTTCTGTGATTTGCTGGAAGGTCTCACTAGAAACTGAACAGGAAATGACTCATGTAATTGTGGGTGATGAAGGCTGATGAACGTAGAGGAAAAGACTGGAGCAGAACAGCCAAGTGCCTCCAGGGTGACGCTGTGGGTGGGAACCTGAATTCTGGACAAGGTTGGGGGTAATGTCCTCCACAGAGGAGGGCTGAGCTTCCTTCATGCAGGATCTCGGGGCTATAATCCCCACCCCGAGGACAAGCAAGGGTGCTGACTTGAGTGACGCCTCCTAATAGTTGTTGTTATGTGTCAGTGAGTGATCTGTGGCTCATAGCAACCCTATATACAACAGCTCTAAGCCCTGTCCTATCCCGAGCCAATCTCACTGTCTCCGACACACCACTGCCATTACCCCCACTACTGTGTCAATCCATCTCATCTAGAGTCTTCCTCTCCTGAGCTGTCCCTCCACCCTTCCAAGCATGTCTTTCTCCAAGGACTAGTTCCTTTTGGCAACATGCCCCAAAGTATGTGAGCTGGAGCTTCAGAACCCTAGCCTCCAGTGAGCAGCTTGGTTTCCCGTTCTCCACGATCTGTTTGTCCTTGAGATCCACAGTACGGTGAATACTCTTCTCCAGCACAACTCAAAGGCACCTTGTTGTACAGCAGGGCTTATAACCCACCTTAATCCCACTTCCTTAACACAATTAAGGGCTCATCCTCAAATGAGCTGTTGTTGTTGCTGTTAAGTGCCTTGACGCGACTCATAGCATGTGAGGTCTTAGAATCACGAAACAGAAGGCTACGGATAGATGGACCTATTATTTACCTCACAGCCCACAGTATCCTACCACTCACAGCGCTGTACTTCAGGGTAGGTCTCACATGCTCTTCTGAAAAGTGCCAATCCTCTTCAATCTTTCAGTCCTGGCCTAACAGATCACAGGACAGTCTGACTCAAAAAGATCCACCTCCGCTCACTAATCCCTACGATGTCAATCTATCGGCTTCTTTCATTTGTGACAACTTTTAACTTTCTTAGATTTACACGTGGTACATTCCAATTATTACTGAATGTCTGCAAGTGTTTCTCCTCATTTTTTTTTAGTGTTTTCCAACTAGACAGGCTCATGTATATAATCACTGTTTATGTGTTTGGCTGTTAGTTTGTGTGGGTTTTTTTTAAAAGGCATTTGCAATATATAAATCATTGAGTGCACAAAATTATATCACACAAACTCCAGCTTCATTTCTGTCACCAAAGCCTTATTTCCCACCTACTGAGCCTTCTTCATATCCAACTCTTGCATTCCAGTCACAGATTAATATTGAATTAATTAATTAATATGAAAGCATTCTATGTGTCGATCCTTTTCAGGCTGCAGAACTTGGTGCAAATCCTTTCTTTGACTTTTGCAGTTGGTGTGCATGTCTGAATGACAGCCTAATGATATGATATCTCTGACAATACTTTTCTTCAGGAGAGATCTTAACATTTGCTTTTTGACAATGAACGAAGCATCATTCCTCTTCAATACAACATTCTTAGCACAGCAGAGCACACACAAGTGTCAAGTTCAACAAGGCCAATGCCAGTCCACTTCATTTCTGACAGCTTCTAATTCTCCAAGACTCACACCTAACCAAGGTTAATCCTGTTAGTAATAAGACATACAGTATTTATTATAAAGAGAAGGAAAGGAACTAAAAAAGCAAAATTCTTTTGTTGATGAAAAAGAGGAAAAGCTAGGAGATGAGGGAGTTAGAGAAAGGAAAGGCAAACGGGGAAAAGAATCCTGTAAGAGTTTGTGAGGCTTCATTCAGCGTGGAGGCAGGTCATGTTTATTTACATCCACACGAAGGAAGAAAGGACCCTCTCTTAGGCCCGTATGTTGGTTTTTCCAAGTTCCAGAAAGCTAGGAAAGTTTTACTGTCCATAGACACTGTCTGCTGTGCTGTCCAATACAGTAGCCACTGGGCACATTTGACAACTGAGTGCATACCTGAGATATGGTTAGTCTACACAGAGATTGAGCTGAGAGGGTAAGATGCACACTGGATTGGAAAGCTCAGTGCCCCCCCCTCAAAAAAAATGAATGCAAAATAGTCTCATGATTTTTTCCCATCATGTTAAAATTATTCTATTTTTTTGGTATGTTGAAATAAAACATATTTTTAAAATTAATTTCACCTTTCACTTTTTTTTTCTTATCACCACCAGGAATTTTAAACTGTGTATGTGGCTCTCGTTAACATTTCTTATGGGACTCTGCTGGCCCAAAGTCTCAGGAAACAAAATGTTTGCTGAGTTATCAATAAGCACATTCAGTGTCCAGGGTACAGCATGTATATGAAATACCCAAACACTGTTCCAGTCACCTGGATTTTAGAAGACTGGAAAATATTTCTTTGCAAATGAAAGGGTCCCGTCTGGAAATATTTTTCTTGGGGCTTTGGAGGGGGCGGGAGATGCCCACAGAGAGCCCAGGGAGGTGGGGCACAGACCTGAAACATAAGTGACCAGGTTGGGTAGACTCTGCTGCTGTGCTGGAAAGCACCGTGCACCAGCTTACGGGGGCCTCTTACTACATTTCCAAGAACTTTTCAAGCCTGTGGATGAACACAGGCATTATCTCATGTCCACAGAGTAACTCGTGGTCTCTGTGAAGCTGAACACTGTGACACTGAGGTGTCAAGTGCATTAATGGTTACCCATGGTGGACAGTGTTTGGTGGAGCTCCCGAACTAAAACAAGCTCAGAAGCAGGAGTGGCATCCACTTCCGAAATAGCTTGCCTCCAGAAACCCTATGAACCTGGAGAGAGGACGAAAGTCATGCAAGTGTCTAGGACTTTCGTTCATAGGGTCGCTATGAGTCGACTACAACTCAAGGCACTTAACAACAACAAATGATTTAAACGAACATGTCAATAAATCATAGTAAATAAAGAGAGTCCTCACTTCCTGGTTACTGTACTGTTGTTGTTGTTTAATGCCGTCGAGTCATAGGCGACTCATAGCGACCCTATGAACGAACAGCCTGAGCACTGTTCGTACATAGAGTTTCCGGAGGCAAGCCATTTTGGAAGTGGATGCCGCTCCTGCTTCCAGGCTTGATTTATTCGGGAAGCTCCAGCCAACACTGTCCACCATGGGTGCCCATTACCACGACTGGCACATCACGGTTACTGTACTACCTTTTGTTATTATCTATGTGTCTTTATCCCTGTCTTTACCTGTATCTTTTGGGTGGGAAGACTGTGAGGGAACAAATGTCCTTAAGTCACCCAACCCCACAGAAGGCATTTAAAGACGAAAAAGCCCACAGCACTTCTTTCTTTTCTCAACACCCTCCCCGACCCCAGTCGTGGTTAATCTGAAGGAAACTTTAGTCCTCTGCCTCTGTCAAAGGACGAATAGTAGTAATAAGAGTAGTAACTGCTGTCAAGTGAGCAAATGACTCAGCGATCACACGCCTGTCAATGCAAAACATGCTGCGTCAAGTTGTTGGCGGCTTATATTTTGGAATTCAATCACTAGGTCTTTCTCACAGGCACCTCCGGGTTGACTCAAACCAACAATCTTTCCATCTAACGCCAAGAGCATGAACACGTGGCGCCACCCGGGGACGCCTTGTCACAGAACGAAATGGGTGGGATGCTGCTGTGGTCAGCTGGGCCGGGTCGACCATGCGTGAGACCGGCCAGCCCCCAGCACACCGTCGGGGCGCCGTGCCCGCGGTCAGTCCTTACGCTTGATGAGGTATCCCGGGGAGTGGGCGGCAACGATGTGCAGGACCGTGCAGCCATCCTCGTCCTTCTGGTTGATGCGGCCTTTCCACTCCGGCTTGAAGTCCATCAGCCACTGGAAAAGGTGGTTGTCCTCTGAAAGGAACAAAGAGGAGCTGCTAAGTTCTATTTTCTACATACAGAAAAATCAGCAAACGGTTCCACAATAAGGGACCCAAACGGGGAGTCTAACACACTTGCTCCATTCACTACAAACGGGTGTGGGGAGACACCACGATCGGTAACACTGAAAGGATGAGCAACATCAGGATGGATGGTGAAGAGACTGAGATTGCTCACAGCTTCAGTCTGCTCGGCTCCCCAATCAACACTCTTGGCACCAGCAGCCAGGAAATTAAAAGACATATTGCAATGGGAAAGTCTGCTATTAGGGACCTCTCCAAAGTACTGAAGAGTAATGGTGTTCCTCTGGAGACTAAGGTGCGTCGGATACAGGCCATGGTCTTTGCAATCACTTGCTATGCATAGGAGAGCTGGACAATGACCAAGGAGGATAGAAGGAGAATTGACGCCTTTGAGCTGTGGTGCTAGAGAAGAGAATTGAGGGTACCATGGACTGCTAAGGAAGCAAACAGATTCATCCTGGAGAGGGTTAAACTAGGCTGCTCCTTGGAGGCAAGGAGTCTGGGGCTTCGTCTGACATACTTTGGACATGTTGTAAGGAGAGACAGGTCCTTGGAGAGGGACATCATGCTTGGAAGGGTAGAGGGACGACGCAAGAGGAGAAGACCCTCTATGAGGTGGATTGATTCAGTGACTGGGGTAATCGGGATGGGAGTGTCAGAGGCAGTGCGATTGGCACAGGACAGAGCGGAGTTTAGGGCTGTTGTACATAGGGTCGCTATGAGTCACAAGCAACTTGACGGCACATAAAAACAACGACAATCATAAGAATATTAATAGGTCAGGATCCCTGATGCAGAGCCTGAGAGAGAGATTCCTGTGCAAGAGATTTATCAAGAGCCAGCAAGCCACCTCGGAAGAAGGAGCATTAGGGAAGAGGGCAGAAGGAACCAGAGCCAGCGTGCTCTCACCTGGAGTCCGTTCCAGCCGGATCCCTGAGGAGCTGTAGAGAATTAACTGCCCCAAGCTCTGGTCCCACCTTGAGGTTGGGAAGCTGGTCTATCGGGCACTAGTTCAGTCAGTCAAAAGCCTCAAAGAGGCAAGACTCGGGGGGGCAGGTTCCCTAGAAAGTAACGTCAGCTGGCAAAGGCTAGTTCTTTGGAGAAGGGAGCTGCTGCGGCCTGGGAGCAGCTGACACTCAGAGGAACCACGAGGTGGGAGAGCTGGTAGGAAAGTGGGTCTATGGGGAGGAATCAGCAACCCACGTTCCTGGAGACACCCTGACCTCACAACATCCACTCAACCACCAAGTCCGTGTCTCTGAATGGAAGATGGCGGAGCTGCCTGACTACCAAAGGAATGTCAAAGGTCCATTCTCCCGGGTTCTCGAGATCAAGGCAAGTCACACAACCCTGCCAGCTCTGTGGGCGCCATGTCTCACCATGTCAGCTTCCCTCTGAGAAACTGATCAGAGACAAACTTGAAGACCTGGTCTTCCTGACATCCTCCTTTCACCATAGGAGCTAAAGAGTGTACCCAGCAGGGAACTATGACGTGCATAACCAGAAGCTCGCTTCTGTGGTTTGGGTTTTTCACTGTGAATCTGGGAGGAAGTAAGTGACTGAATTCCTTTTCAGCAGACTTCACTTTTGCAAGTTTTACCTGCCAGACTCTAAGAATAAAATCTCAAATGTGCTCTGCAATATATGAAACGGAAAGTATTTGCGCGAGCAAAAAGATAAGACCCCGAAATCCCAAGTGCCTGGCCAGGGCTCACCCCTATTCTGTAACAGAGAGAAAATGATGACGTTGAGAAGCTGCAGAACAGCTCTCAGATGGTACAACCAATGCCCGAATGTTCGCAAGGAATGCGATGTCACAGCTGGGAGGGGAAACCAAGCTTCTCTCTGAAGCTTGTTTAACAATTACAGTATTTTTATATGTCAATCCTACATCCAAGTGGTGATATTTCTAAAGACATTCTTTGAAAAACAGGAGTTTCTTCAAAGTACTCCCCTCACCCCTGTTGAGGAACCAACTCATAGTTGACTCTCCACTGGGTTTCTGACGCTTAAATCGCACAGGAGGACAATGACCATCTTTCTCCTATGGGGCCACTAGTGGACTGGGACCACCAGGGAGGTGAGGCCTTTGGGTTAATGGGATAGTTCCCTACAGACCCTACCACCAGACCTACGACAATATCAAAATAATCTTCACCAAAATAACTATGAGATATCATCTCACTCCAGTCAGAATAGCAAAGTTTAACTGAACAGCAAACAACAAATGCTGGCGAGGTTGTGGAGAAACTGGAACCCTTATTCACTGTTGGTGGGAGTGTAAAATGGTGCAATCACTATGGAAGGCTATATGGTGCTTTCTCAAAAAGTTGGAAATAGAAACACCATTTGTTCCAACAATTCCACTACTGGGAATATACCCTAAAGAAACTATAACCGCCACCCAAGCAGATATATGCACACCCATGTTTATCACGGTTTTGTTCACAATAGTCAAGAATTGGAAACAAACTAAGCGCCCATCAACAAACGAATGGATAGAGAAGCTGTGATATATTCACACAATGGAATACTACACTGCAATGAAAAACAAGGAACTCATGGAATATTATTCAAAATGGGTGACCCTGGAGGACATTATGCTGAGTGAAATATCTCAGTTACAAAAGGACAAATACTGCATGGTGCTACTGTTGTAGAACGGGACTGACGTAGGGGTTAGGTGGAGACTGAGAAAGATGGGTTCAATAATGTATACTGCATTGAAACAGATGAGGGAGAGAACTGTTTAGAAGATATATATGATTAGGTATTATTGTCATGACAGGAGTCCAGAACAAAGGCTGTACAGTGGAGTAGACTTGGGAGGGATTGTATAACAATGAAAGAATTTTTCTTTTACTTTTCAAAGAGAAGAACAAACTGGAGTGGGGGGGGGTGGCAGGGAGAAAATTACGACAATGAATGAATGAAAATACAAAATCTCTGTAAATTTTCATTAAAATTAATAATAATAATAAATATTTGAAATTAAAAAAGAAAACAACCAGCAACAATCTTTACTAGCCAGTGGCTCTGTCAGGGTTCCCCTGGCCATCTCTGCACCACAGTAGGCAGCTATCCAGGTTGGAGAGAAAATAAACTGGGGGGGAAGCAGCTGGAGAAAGAGCCCCCCCACAGCTGCCCTGGGAGTTCTGCCTGGCAACAGCTGTCTGTCACAAGTTCTTTCCCTGGGGCCCAGGGCTCTGCTTAGCTGCCAGGATCTGTCCAGGAACATGAAATCTTTTCCATGTCCATTAACTACCAATGCCAAGAGAAATAAAACGTAGCTGTTCTCCAGCTGCATGTCTTCAAATGATCCCGGTTCCCAAGGGCTGGTTCCCCCAGAGTTGAGCAGAGGGTCCCTCCGCTGGGGGCCCGAGGGGGGGGGTGCACTCACTTGCTTGGATGCACAGCCTCATGAGGGCATGAAGCGGGTAGGGTCCGATGCTCTCGACGTTTGCACCAAGGAAGATGAGCCACTGGACTAACGGGGGCACCTGGTCCATGCGTTCGTAAAGTCCAGTGATGACGTATTTCTGGAAAGAAAAGAAACACGTTGATGAATCATCATGAAAGTCATCCAGTCAAGGTGAAACTTTACCTTCAGCCTGCAAGTTTAGAATCAGCAGAATCCAAATTAGCCAAGTCTCGGACCAAAGACAGGGAGCTCGGGTGGCTTAGTGGTAAGGCACTGTGCTGCCAACGCAAAGGCAGGTGGTTCGAATCCACCAAGGGAGGAAGATGGGCCATCTCCTCCTATGTGAATTGTTGTTATGTGCTATTGAGTCGCTTATGACTCATAGCGACCCTATGTACAACAGCCCGAAACACTGTTCTGTTCTGTGCCAATCTCACCGTCTCCGACTCACCCACCCCCATTACCCCAGTCACTGAATCAGTCCACCTCATAGAGGGTCTTCCCCTGCTGTACTGTCCTTCCACCCTCCCAATCATGATGTCCCTCTCCAAGGACTGGTTCCTCCTTGCAACAAGCCCAAAGTATGTTAGACGGAGCTTCAGAATCCTTACCTCCAAGGAACAGTCTGGCTTTACCCTCTCCAGGATGAACTTGTTTGTTCTCCTAGCAGTTCATAAAATATTCAATACTCTTCTCCGGCACCAAAGCTCAAAGGCATCAATTCTCCTTCTATCAACTCTAGTCACTGTCCAGCTCTTCTCTGCATAACAAGTGATTGCGAAGACCATGGCCTGTATCGGACGCACCTTAGTCTCCAGAGAGACACCATTGCTCTTCAGTACTATGGAGAGGTCCCTAACAGCAGACTTTCCCATCGCAATACAGCTTTTCATTTCTCGGCTGCTGGTGCCAAGAGTGTTGATTGTGGAGCCAAGCAAACTAAAGCTGTTTATAATCTCAATCTCTTACAGTCTGTGAAACCCCACTGGGAGGACACCTATGCGTTGGCTATGATTTGACAGCACATGGTAACAACATGCCACAGATACAAATAACCAACCTGTGGGGAGGCAGCTGAAGGGGAAGTCCCCAAACACAAAGCTGAGGTGGTCTAGCTTGAAACATGACTGAGGAACATCACCTCACCTCAAAAAGGCATTTCAGGGTTATATCTGGGGCTCGAATGGTCCTTGGCAGTCGTTCTTTTCTCGAAGCCAGAAGCAGGAATGGCTAACGGGAGTGGAGAAAAAGAAAATGCTGGAATAAGAATGTTCTCTACATAAGGTATTAGAGAAAAAGTGATCTTAACGGAAACACAATGGACCATGATTTTGCCATCATAAAGAGAAATTTTTTTAAGTTATTTCCATTTTATTTGATGTATTTATTCTCGAGCCATAAGTTTTTGTTTCTTCAGTTTCTTCTGGGAGATAATTTTCTTCTGGGCAACCTCCTCTTCTGGTTTAGGAACAATCTGTTCCTTTTCTGTACGGAGCATCTCAATATGGCCGGGGGAGCTCGTGGAGGGGTTAATCCAACCATGAGCTCTGTACGTGCGGTAGTGCATCATGGGAGCTTTGTTCACCTGGAGATGCTCAATGACCAGAGAATCAACATGTAAACCTTTAAGTTCAGCATTACTTTCGCTTTTTTAAGCAAATGCAGCAAAAACTCGGCACTCTTTTTGGGCCACCGACCCTGTGTCCAACCCCACTGCTTGGCCTGGGCACACCTACCAACTCCACCACTGTATCATAGGAAGGGCACACACTGCTTTTGCAAAGTGACATCTTTCAGATACTTGGTGGCTTTCAGGATATGCACACCCTTGCTGGCCTGGGCAGTTTCTCGGGTGTTCTTAAAATGGACCCGGAGATTGGAGCCTCTTGATTTGCATGATTTTGTAGGGTTTTCCCGGCCAAGAGAGTAGCAAATCATGTTGGGAGATTACCTGAAGCCGCCCCCAGGAAAAGGAAGAGCAGAGGCTCCTCATAAGGAAAAATTTAAGTTCTTAGCGTAAAATTAAAGTTTTCTTTAAAAAAAAAAAAAGAAGGATATGGGAGCCCTCATGGCCTAGTGGCAAGAAGCTGCACTGCGATCCCAGAGGAGTGCGGTTCGAATCCACCAGATGCTCTGCTGGAGAAGGAGGGGCAATCTCCTCCTGTACCAGTCAGATCTGATTTGACAGCACACACACAAAATATAGTCAATAAATAATTACTTTTAAAAATCTTAAAACAAAAAACGTTCCTAAGGTCCAACAAGAGGAAGACTTCACTTACTCACTTATCCACTGCCACAGAGTCAGAACCCACACAGACGACCCTCTAACAGACTTACAAGGCTGTAAACTGCATGACAGGAGAGTCATATTCTCTCTCTCCCACCACCACCTCTTTCCCCCCCTTCTCTCTCATCTATCTCTCTCGCCTCCTCTCTCTCTTTCTCCTCTCTCTTCTCTCTCTCTCCCCCACCTCCCTCTCTTTCTCCTCTCTTCTCTCTCCCCCCGCCTCCCCCTCTCTCTCTCTTTCCTCTCTCTTCTCTCTCCCTCTCTCTCTTTTTCTCCTCTCTCTTCTTCCCTCTTCTCTTCTCTCTCTCTCTCTGTCTCTCTCCCCCCCCCTCAAGTTGCTGTAGATTCAAAACATCACAGAGGTATGATGTTTGAGTTAGCAGCAAAACCTTCTAGGGACTAGGTCACCTAGCCGACTCAAACCCCATCACTATCCATTGTTCAGTACTTGAGTGTTTGATAAGCCCTCACGGTTTGGGGCCCATCAGGTTCTATCTGGTGATGTGTCAGCTGGTTCCTGTCCAATGGGGAGCCACGTAGGTACTTCTCCTCCCAATCCAACCCTAAGGTGCATCATACCATGTTAGAATCCTGACACTGGCTGTGGTGGTCGTATCTATATGACTGAAAACAGCAAACTATAAATCAGGATTCTTTCTCTTCTCAGAGAGGTGAAGGAACTTTTTTCTGTATCACAGGTAGTAAACGTACTCCTGAGAGCCCTCTACTGGCGTCACAACAAAGCTACAGTCCAGCATCTGACCGGAGATCCAGTCACGTCCATCATTGGAAGCCAGCTGTAGCACCAGCTCCAATCTCCCTCACGTACGTTCTCATCAGTAGACTTAAGGAACTAGGAACTAGGCCTCCTGCAACACCTCCCTTCTAGTCTCCTTCACTCCAACACCTCTCTTATTTAACAAACCAAGCCCGTTGTTATGAAGCTGACTTCAACTCACAGTAACCCTACAGGAGAGAGGAACCGTCCCACAGAATTTGCATTGGGCAAGTCTAGTGTCAGAGACCTCTCCACAGTACTGAGGAGCAACGATATCAGTCTGGAGACTAAGGTGTGCCTGATACAGATCATGGTCTTTGCCATTACTCGCCATGCATCATAGAGCTGGACAATGACTAGGGATGATAGAAGAGTTGATGCCTTTGAGCTGTGGTGTTGGAGAAGAGTATTGAATATATGATCGACTGCTAGGAGAAAAAAAACAAGTTCATCCTGGAGAAGTTGAAGCCAGGCTGCTCCTTGGAGACAAGGATTCTGAAGCTCCATCTGACATACTTTGGACATGTCCTTGGAGAGGGACAGCATGCTTGGGAGGGTAGAGGGACAGTGCAGGAGAGGAAGACCCTCGATGAGATGGACTGATTCCGTCACTGATGTGTCAGAGACAATAAGATTGGCAAGAGATAGAGCAGGGTTTAGAGCTGTTGCACATAGGGTCACTATGAGTCACAGGCGACTTAACGGCACATAACAACAACAAATCTTTACAGAAACACACTCCATCTTCCATCCCAAAAGCAGCTAGTGGATTCGAACCACTAACTTTTCCTTAATCGAGCCAACAATCCACTGTGTCACAAGGTGTCTCTCTTTATTATCCACTGTTCATTCTCAACCCTAGATGTCACACTCAGGATTCTGGCTGCCCTCATCACCGGCCTAGCTGTCATGTGATTCCCTTCTCTCTAATATCTGAGAATAACATGCTAAAGGATGCAGGACCTGCCACTTAGCCTGGATTCCTGGGCATATCCTGGGACAGGTACTTGGAGCTGCCTGGCTCCATTCCCTTCCTCTCCTCCCAGGCCGTAAGGCCCCACGCACCACTATTCTACACTGCCATGAGGGAATATAAAGGGTTCTTACCTGAGTGATGTCAAATGAATTATCTGTCTATTAACGACGCCAGAGTCACCTGTTCATACCTCTTCCTCATACTTGGGAACAAAGAATTTCAAACTTTTAAAAAAAACATAGCTAGAAAGAATCTTCTAGAGCTCAGCTCAGTTAACCTTATCTAGCAAAGAGCATGTAGATCATGAACTCTGTACTGGATCAAAGGACTACGTGGAAAGACTATATAATCAGGCATTATTTGTATGACAATTGATCCAGAACAGAAAGTGTTTACAAAGTGAACTGGGGGGGGAAGGTGGAGGAGGAAAATATATATCAATGAATGAATGAAAACCCCTCCTTTCTGTAAACTTGCCTTAAAATCACAATTAAAAAAGAAAGAACAATGTTCAAGGTAAATATTCTTTACTTGTGCTGTTGTTGTTGTTGTTGGGTGCCACCAAGTCATGTTTGACTCATAGGACCCTGTGAACAACCGATCTGAACCCTGTGCTACCCTGTGCCAACCTCACCGTCTGATACATTTGAGCCCAGTGCTGCAGTCACCGGGTCAACCCATCTCAATGGAGGCCTTCCTTGCTTCACTGCGCTTCCATCTTTCCAAGCTTGATTCCTTTTCCAAGACACAGCCTCTCCCAGCAACATGTCCAGACTGTGAGAGACGAAGCACTCGCCTCCAGGGAGCGCTCTGGGTGCACCTCAGAGTTAAACTGAACCACTGTTGAATTTTAGAAAAGCTTTCAGAGGAGGGAATGAGTCACAAAGACAATGTCTCACATCTTGCACTGATGAGTAAGAACGGGGACTTAAGAGCCTGGATGCTGCCACCTAAGGGAAAGCCATGGTCTCTTCCTGTCTGAAAGAAAGAGAAGAATATCAAAGACGCGTGCACAGAACCAAGAGGCCCTCCTGTGTCAGCTTCCATGACCTTGGAATCAGAACAACTAGCTAGTGTCCAACTATCAGGGCTCGTGGCTCTGAAAGGAATCACCGCAGAGGGTGAAATCACAGAGGGTGCGGAAGAGAGTAAGATAAACACAGAACCAAACTCAAAATGAAAAAAATGGCCAGGAAGACTGACAGCCTCCAAGTCCAAGGCCCACTGCCTCTGCCACCCTGCGAGCCTGGAATGAACCCACAGCTGTGGCACCGCTTTCTGCCAACCAATAAACAGACACATAAAGCAAACACTTAAGACCAGGGAGGGAGCTCTGGTGGCCTAGTGCTAAGAACCTGGGCTGTGAACCCAAAGAGGCACGCTGTTCGAATCCACCAGCTGCTCCGTGGGAGAAGAATGGGCAAACTCCTCCCGTGAGATTTACTGTCTCTGAAAACCCACTGGAGGGTCAGCTAGGAGTTGGTTCCGACTCTATGGTACACACCACCACCACCAGAAGAGTCCCCAGCCTTCTGAACAATCAGCCATGCAAGATCAGCAGGGCAATTTCTGCCCAGGATTAAAGTTCAGAAGTGAGAGGATATGATAATGAATGAAACAAGAACATGGAGATAGAGGGAAGCCCACTGCTACAACCTGAAGACTGTAATCAACATCAAAGGACTTTAAAGAATGTCATCTTACATCTCACTTAAACTTTGCTTATCATGGCAATATCCGTAAATTAAACAGAATGGAATTTTTACTTTTTTTAAATTTCTTAATTTTAATGAAAGTTTACATAGACTTATGATTTCCAGTCATTCACTGTTTCAGTTTACTCCCTGCCCACCCCCTACCCCCTCAAGTCATCTTCTTGAAAAGAAAAAATCTTTCATTATTGTTATGGAATCCCTCCCCTCCTATTAGACATTTTTTAGTAGCTTTGAAACTGGGGAATGTCTAAGACCATAATAAACTTCTAAAAAAATTTTAGATGATTAGAAACTGATTCTGACTTTTCCCTCCCTTAGAAATAAATCAAACTTAATGTACCTGGGGGGGGGGGAAGATGGATGATTAGTGGAATGGAGTATCAACCGGCCCTGTAAACTCACACTAAAAATCCCAATAAAAAGTTAAGTAAAATTAAAAAGCCCTCTTTCAGCCACCCTCCTAAAAAAAAA